CGTGATGTGAGTCCTCCGTGATGGGAGTCCTCCATGATGTGAGGCCTCCGTGATGGGAGTCCTCCGTGATGTGAGTCCTCCGTGATGGGAGTCCTCCATGATGTGAGGCCTCCGTGATGGGAGTCCTCCGTGATGTGAGTCCTCCGTGATGGGAGTCCTCCATGATGTGAGGCCTCCGTGATGGGAGTCCTCCGTGATGTGAGTCCTCCGTGATGGGAGTCCTCCATGATGTGAGGCCTCCGTGATGGGAGTCCTCCGTGATGTGAGTCCTCCGTGATGGGAGTCCTCCATGATGTGAGGCCTCCGTGATGGGAGTCCTCCGTGATGTGAGTCCTCCGTGATGGGAGTCCTCCATGATGTGAGGCCTCCGTGATGGGAGTCCTCCGTGATGTGAGTCCTCCGTGATGGGAGTCCTCCATGATGTGAGGCCTCCGTGATGGGAGTCCTCCGTGATGTGAGTCCTCCGTGATGGGAGTCCTCCATGATGTGAGGCCTCCGTGATGGGAGTCCTCCGTGATGTGAGTCCTCCGTGATGGGAGTCCTCCATGATGTGAGGCCTCCGTGATGGGAGTCCTCCGTGATGTGAGTCCTCCGTGATGGGAGTCCTCCATGATGTGAGGCCTCCGTGATGGGAGTCCTCCGTGATGTGAGTCCTCCGTGATGGGAGTCCTCCATGATGTGAGGCCTCCGTGATGGGAGTCCTCCGTGATGTGAGTCCTCCGTGATGGGAGTCCTCCATGATGTGAGGCCTCCGTGATGGGAGTCCTCCGTGATGTGAGTCCTCCGTGATGGGAGTCCTCCATGATGTGAGGCCTCCGTGATGGGAGTCCTCCGTGATGTGAGTCCTCCGTGAAGTGAGTGAGTCCTCCGTGATGTGAGTCCTCCGTGATGTGAGTCCTCCGTGATTGAGTCCTCCGTGATGTGAGTGAGTCCTCCGTGATGTGAGTCCTCCGTGATGTGAGTCCTCCATGATGTGAGTCCTCCGTGATGTGAGTCCTCCGTGATGTGAGTCCTCCGTGATGTGAGTCCTCCGTGATGTGAGTCCTCCGTGATGTGAGTCCTCCGTGATGTGAGTCCTCCGTGATGTGAGTCCTCCGTGATGTGAGTCCTCCGTGATGTGAGTCCTCCGTGATGTGAGTCCTCCGTGATGTGAGTCCTCCGTGATGTGAGTCCTCCGTGATGTGAGTGAGTCCTCCATGATGAGTGAGTCCTCCATGATGAGTGGGTCCTCCGTGATGTGAGTCCTCCGTGATGTGAGTCCTCCGTGATGTGAGTCCTCCAGCAAGGCCACAGCCCCTAAGCCTCCCAAAACAGATTCAAATACTCGGAACCTATGGGGGACATTCCTCATTCAAACCATCACAAGTGAGACAGTTAATACTGTCAACCTGACAGGAACCTAGGTGACAGACCTCTGAGCACACCCAGGGAGTTTCCAGATTGGGTTAACTGAGAGGAAAAGCCCATCCTGAAGGTGGCAGCACCACTGCAGGTGCTGGCGTCCTGAGGTGAATGAAAAGGGGTGGGGTGGGGGCCTGGAGAGCTGGCTTGGCAGTTAGGAACACTGATTGCTCTTACAGAGGACCTGGGCTCGATTCCCAGCACCCACATGGCAGCTATGAACCGTCCTTAACTCCAGTTCCAGGGGAATCCAAAGCCCATTTCTGACCTCCGTGGCATTGCACAACACGGGTTGCACTCACATACATGCAGGCAATACACTCATAAACATAAAATAGAAATAATAAACTATAAAAAAAAAGCCTGGTGGGGTGGCGCACGCCTTTAATCCCAGCACTTGAGAGGCAGAGGCAGGTGGATCTTTGAGAGTTCAAAGCCAGCCTTGTCTATATAGTGAGTTCCAGGACAGCTGGGGCTACAGGGAGACTGTCTCAAGAAGGAGAGAATGGGAGCCTAGCACCTGCATCCATGCAGCTCTGCCTCCCGACTTCAAACGCCACCATGCCTTCCCACCAGGATGGACTTAAACTGTGAGCCAAAATAAGCCCTTCCTTTCTTACATTGCTTCTTATGAGGTATTTGGTCACAACGATGAGAAAAAATAACACAGGAGTGAACACTTCTCAATTCATTTCAAGGGCCCAATAGTTCCCAAATACCAAAACCACATGAGGCCATTACAGAAAAAGAAAACCACAGACGAATGTCCCTTGCGAACCCCAAATCCTTAACAAAATATTACTACTTTGAAAGTCAGTCATGGTGGTGTCCACTTACTTGGAAGGCTGAGGTGTGAGGATCGCTTGAGCCTTGTTCAAGCCAGGCTGCTTAATGTAATGAGACCCTACATCAAAAAACAGACATCCATCTGCAAACTGAATCCAGAAATCCTGAAGATGCTGGGATCAAACCAGTGGGATACGCAAGGGTGGTTCACCCTTCAACCGTCAGTCAGCATCATTCACCAAGTCAATAGCTCGAGAAGAGATGTCCTAGGTTTTTGTAGATGCAGGCTACACTTCATAGGATCCACTGTGCATCTGAGATCATCACGAAGCAACCCAGGAAGGGGTGGAAGCATTGTCACCTACCTGGGGTTCTGCTGCCGTTTCAGTCTGGCTGAGGTCTAAGAAGACGCCAAGGAGATGGCTGTCGGTAAAGTGTCTGCTTTGCACTCACGAGGACCTGAGTTTGAACCCCTAGGACCAAGGTAAAAAGCTGGGTATGAAGTGCAAGCCTGTAATTCTAGCACTTGGGAGGCTGAGGCAGGCAGATCTCTGTGAGTCTGAGGCCGGCTTGGTCTGCATAGCAAGTTCTAGGCCAGTCAGGGCTACAAGGAGATCCTGTCTCAAAAAAAAAGATGGAGATGAAAGATGCACCTAACGGCAACCTCTGACCTCTGCATGGACAGACGCACAGGCACCATACATGTGCACATGCATACAGTCATTTAAAATATTAAATGGAACACCCTAGATATTAATAATGCCTGTTCTAGTTGTGATAACACACTGACCAAAATCAACTTAGGGAGGAAAGGGTTTATTTCATTTTACGTTTTCAGGTAATAGTTCATCACTGAGAGAAGTCAGGGCGGGAACGCGAGGCAAGAACCTGGAGGCAGGAACTGAACCAGAGACCCTGGAGGGATGCTGCTCCCCTGGCTTGCAACTACCTTCCTAATACAGCCCAGGCCCACCTGCTCAGGGAGGGCACCGCCCACAGTGGGCTTGGCCTTCCTACATCAATTAGCAATTAAGAAAATGCCCCAGAGTCACGGGCCACAGGCAAATCTGATGGAGATAATTCCTCAATTAAGGTCCCTTCCCAAATGTGTCAAGTTCCCAGCCGAGTTTAGCCATCACAACCTAAGCTTTGAATTGCTGTTCTGAGAAACAGGATGGCCTCTTGGCACACTCCTCCATGTTGTTGGAACTTGAGTTAGCTCCCACAGCATTGCTGCTCTGTGTGCACTGCCCGCCCAGCCACCACTCCAGAGCCTCCTCGGCTCTCAGGTTCACTGCCGAAGTCTCAGGACTGCAGTGCTTGGGTTACTGTAGCACTTGTTTGGCATAATGATGACCCCAACCTGCAGAAGACGTGAGGATGGAAATCTGAAAACACTAAAGAGATGTCATGAATGTTCTCAATAAGGGGAGGGAGGGGACAGGGGAGAGAAGGAGGGAGGGAGAGAGGGAGAGGGAGAGAGAGAGAGAGAGAGAGAGAGAGAGAGAGGTTGAGGCCTACAGAATACACAGAGCCTGGGGGGTGGTGATGCACAGTTTTAATCCCAGCACTCAGTGGCTGAGACAGGAAGATTGTGAGTTTGAAGCCAGCCTGGGTTGCATATGAGACGTTGTCTAAAAAACATTTTTTGACAGATGCTGGAAAGGTGGTGTAGTGGTTAAGAGCACTTGTTGCTCTTGCAGAGGACCCAAGTTCAGTTCCCAGCATCCATGTATGATGGCTCACAACTGCCTGTAACTCCAGTTCTAGGGGATCTAACACCCTCCTCTGGCCTCCATGGGCACCTGTACTCATGTGCACGTGCACGCATGCAGAGGCAGGCGGATCTCTGTGAGTTCAAGGCCAGCCTGCTCTACATAGCGAGTTCCAGGACAGCTGGGGCTACAGGAAGACCCTGTCTTAAAAAAGACCAAAACAAAACAAAACAAAACAAAACAAAAAAACCCAAAAAACTCAAGCATGGAGCCAGATGTTGTAGCTCACACCTTTAAACCCAGCATTTGAAAGGCAGAGGCAGGCAGATCTCTGTGAGTTCAAGACCAGCCCGGTCTACACAGGGACTTCCAGGCCAGCCACAGTGAGACCCTGTCTCAAAAACTACAAAAGTGTAAGCGTGGGGAACAGACTTCCATTTCCAAGTCTGGTGGCGTCGTTAAAGGCAAGAGCAATGTTCCCTCTGAGAACCTGAAAAGTCAGACAGAAATATAAAAATCCTCTCCCCAAAAGCATCAGAACGTGACAGCTGCAAGAGACAGTAGGTTAGGAGTCCAGAGTGTTATAGGACAGAGTTCGTAAAAAATCACCAACACCACTTTAAGAAAAGCAGCAAGGTAAATTTTAGTTTTCGGCCAGCCGGGCTGTCCATCTCGGGAGTAGAAGCAGCCCTGGTGATTGTCAGGTCATTTATAGGATTACAGAATTATTATTAAAACAGGACATCTGCGAACCAATCAGGTTTGTACAACATAGCAGAGTTTTGATTCTATTAATTAACAACATTATACAGACAAGTGATACAGTGATATAACTTGGCAATCAACTTTGTAATTTTAAAGTTAGTCAACTTCCTAGCCATAACAAGTATAGTAAGAAAGCTGGAATCAGCAGGTACTGAGTGGTCAGACAATAACAGGATAACAGGGTGGTCTTATGCTCTGTGTCAAGGTGACCCAAAATCGCAAGCGGATTACAGAAGGGAAAACAAGCTGGTTAGCCAGATGTAAAATGTCTGGAATTAGCACAGTCCATGGTTCATGGCTAAGACAATTTCCCAAGACCCAAGGTTGTTCTGGTGGAGCAAAGTTGCTGCTGAAATGGCTCTGAACAAAATGGAGTAACTCAGGGAAGTTTGCTGAGCTAGTTCACAGAGGAGCGGATGGCAGAGAGCAGAGCTGCCCATCTGCGGCCGGCACTTGCCAAATTTGGTTCACGCTGGGTTTAACGACAAGCCTGAGATCTGTGGGGCATTTGACAGACGAGTGGAGGCGGGGGCTTGACTGCTTCAGGGCTGACTGGCTTCTGAGTGGCTAGAGGCGGGAAGAAGCTTCCGCTGACTTGTGCAGGGTAAAGCAGAGGTGCGTCTCTCAGAGCTGAGTAGATGACACCCCAGGCAGGGGCTGGCAGCGAGTCTGTAGCTGGGGGCTCCAGAGGATGCATGGAGGGAACAGAAGCAAACCAGGGGCTGCCTCAGCAAAGCCAGCCACCTCCAGTCTGCTCAGCCCCTTTAGATTTTTGTGGCTGGAACGCTGCGCCATCGCCATGGAGACAGGACTCCCACTTTGCCTTAGGAACAGGGGGTGAATGCCTTAGGAGGTGTGGTGTCTCCAAACCGCAGGGCAGAGTCAGCAGGGTGGTGGGTGCAAAAAACAGGCACAGCTGGCTCTAATAAAACTTTATTTACAGAAGACAGGGCATGGTGGCACACACCTTTAATCTCAGTCCTTAGGAGGCAGAAGTAAGTGGACCTCTGAGTTTGAGGCCAGCCTGGTCCACATAACAAGTTCCAGGCCAGACCCTATCTCAAAACAAAACAAAACCCCACTTTATTTACAGGGGCTGGGGATGTTGCTCAGTATAGTGTTTGCCTAGCACACAGGAAGTCCCGAGTTCCACCCTACCACCCAATAAATCAGGTGTGGTGTACATACCTGTAATTCCAGACCTGGGAGGTGAAGGTACATGGATCAGGATTCCAGGCCCGCCTTAGCTACTGAGACCCTGTCTCAAAAACAAAGAGAACAAAAAACTTTATTTGGAAAGACCTGGGGCTATAGTGTGCTGGCCCTTGGCCTAGTGCCACCAGAGTCTATAATCCTTGACTTCTGGAACTGGAAACACGAGCAGTGGCGTGGAGGCTGGAGGCAGCAGCTGAGGACCCTGAACCCACTAAGTGGCGTGGTTTTGTTTGAAGGTAGACACAATTGAGAATTTCAATGAAACCAGAATTCCACAGGGCACATTTAAGACTCTATACACCCAGCCAGGTGTGGTGGCGCACACCTGTAGCCCCAGCACTTGGGAGGCAGAGGCAGGTGGATCTCTGTGAGTTCAAGGCCAGCCTGGTCTACATAGTGAGCTCCAGGCCAGCTGGGGCCACAGCAAAACCTTTTCAAAAAGACTAAAAAAAAAAATAATTTTCACCCTCATAGCTGAGTGTGGTGGCACACACCTTTAATTCCAGCACTTTGTGAGTTCAAGTGGGGAGACTCTGTCTCAAAAAGACTCTATACACCAAGGTGATCTAAGCACAAGGCCTCGGAGAGAAGCTTAATGCTGGGTGAGTCCAGCTGAGTCCTGATTGTCACACTGATGGTCACCAATGAATGAAGCTGTTGCTGTTATCCCAAGTGGCCAGAGGCCATTTGATCCCTTCATGCCAGAGGCTTTAGGGCCTGTGTGTATGGCGCTTCCTGAGTTCTGACAGGGGAGGTGGAGGCTTCCTTGACCCAGCCTGAGCTGGCTACAGGGATGTTCTTCTATATGCCTGCCAGGGGGCTTGGCCAGCAGCTGGTGTGTGGAGACAGCAAGAACCAAGATGGAGTCGGGTGTCAATGCTAACAAGATAGGTAAACAAAGCAGGAAGACTGAAGGGAGAGTTCCAGGAACTTGTCTGAGTGACTCTCAGAGAATTCCAAGAGAGCCACAACCCTGCAGAGGCCACTGCAGCCGTATAGGCTAAGAAATCTTGCAAGGATGGCTGCCCAGCTATTCAGTCCCCAACCAGCATCACACCGCTATTAATTCTTGTAGTGAAGAAGGATGGCTACTTCGAAAGAGTTCGGATGGTCCTGGCTTTGGCATTTGAAACTTCCCCAGGCCAGTGAGATGGCTCAGGGGGTGGAGGAACCTGTGGCCAAGCCTGAGGACCTTAGTTCAATTCCTGGGACCCAACAGTGGAAGAGAAGTTGTCCTCAGACCTCCACATATGTGTGCACACAAGTGAGAGTGCGTGCGCATGCACACCCCGACGAAATAAAAACAAAAAATTAGAAACTTTCCTTGTGCCTCTCTCATCTGGCCCCCACTTACTGGGTATCAACTCCTATCACACTAGGGAAGGGGCACCCTGACCTGGTCACCTCTTGGCTGCTGGACCAGTTACTTGGAGCTTGGTGAGGGACCTGTGTACAGCACCCTTTAGGAAACAGCCAGATTCCAGGTTCCTGGCTGGGGCAGGTGGTCTGTGGGTACAAGGACCTAGCTGGGAGTCAGAAGAGGCTGGTGGTGAGTCATAGCCACAGGTGGGGCTCTCTCAACACTAGCGATACTCATCTCCAGCCTGTGGGAGAGTTGGGGTGGGCCTGTGCACCTTGCTACAGTTCCTGCTAATACAGGTGCCTAGAGGGACAGGGAAGGCTAACCAGATCACCCATCTGGTGCTGGATGACCCCGCCCTGCTGCCTTAGGCCAACCTGAGCTGTGGAGGGGGAATTCCCATGTCGGGGGGCTGCGGCTCCTGCACCCCAGCTCTGGTGATAATCTTGACTGTTCACGGGCTTCTCCACATGGGCACGTTCTCCAGGGGAGGGCTGAACCATCTCGGCTCCGGTGCTTTGACAAACAGCCTCAGGAGGAACAAGGTTGGCGAGCAGGGAAGTCTGGCTGCAGGGTTTACCTTGGTTTAAAACCACCAACCTGACATGTGAACACACACCCACACACACCCACACACATGCCCAACATGGTCCTGGAAATCGAGGGTGGCAGGCAGGGTGGTAAGGAGGCTTGAGACATTTGGGCAAGGGCCAAGGGAGGCCCAGGAAGGGCAGTGCATGGTCCAGCACCTTTACTGTGTTGAGGGTCCTTTACGTGGCAGTCAGCAGAGAAGCCTCTGGAGGAAGCTGGTGGGCCAAAGCTCCCCTGCGGGCTTCCTCTGTGGCTGAGCCTTGGCCACAGGGGCACAGAGGATCGCGTGCAGGGTATTCAAGCAGCAGCAACACCTGGCCCATGATAGCTGTAGTGAGGGTCCACACGGTCACCCCAGATGGAAATGGCTGGTCCTCAAGGCTGCCTCAGCTCTTTCAAAGGTTCCTGGGCAGCTCTCAAGCCTCCCCAGAAACTTAGCGATCTCCCCAATACCCTTCACTATACCCATTCCTCCTGAAGCATTTATGGCTCTGGCCTGCCAGGTGTGGTAGATGTAGCTGCTGCCTGTCAGGGCGAGGCTCCAACTGACCCTCCTAAGTCAGGCTTGTGACTGGGGAGCACTAGCCTCACCCTGGGTCACTGTTTCCTTTCCAGCAACCTGTGAGTGATGCTTAGCTGGACACATACCCCTAATCCTGGGGTGTTGTCCCGGCAGGAAGTGACCCAGCTTCCTGGCTGCTGCCTCTCAGCCCTGTCCACTTGCCAGCACCACACTGGCCTGGGCTTCCACCCAAGTGTCTGCAAGGGGCAGGTGCAGACTTTCCCTCACCTGCTCATGTGTCTGTGGGCACCTTCCTGCTGCACCAAGAGCCTTGGGCAGTCAAGAGCCTCTGTCTGTCTAGACCCTGGGGTTCCACCTCAGTCCACACCTGGCCTCAGACGCCCCTAGCACCTTATGGGTGTGCAGACTGGCAGGAATTGCTCAACGCAGAGGCAGCCCTAGATGTCCTGGCTGCCTCTGTAACTGCCTGTGCTGGGAGAGGGAGCTGAACAGTATCCAGGGAGGCCTATAGCTGGGGAAACCGAGGCTGGGTCAGAAACCTCCAAGCTGAGGCCAGGGGCAAACTGGTTGGCCTCTGAGGCACCTGTAGCCCCCTCCCAGATAAAGAGCTGGAATGAAAGCTCTGGATCCTTTAAAAAGAGACGTGGGGGGCTGGAGAGATGGCTCAGCAGTTAAGAGCACTGAGCTCTTGCAGAGGACCCCATTCCCCAAACCCACATGGCAGCTAACAACTGTCCATAACTCCAGTTCCAGGGGATCCAATGCACTCCTCGAGATGGCTCAGCGGTTAAGAGCACTGACTGCTCTTGCAGAGGATCTGGGTTCAATTCCCAGCACCCACATGGCGGCTAGTTCCAGGGGACTCCAAAGCTCTCTTCTGACCTCCAAGGCATTGCACAACACGGGTGCACTCACATACATGCAGGCAATATACTCAAACACATAAAATAAAAATAAGAAAATAAAAATAAATAAATAAAAAGAGACATGGGAGAGGCTCACAGGCCCATCCGTCCTCATCAGCCACCAGGGAAATGTGAACTAAAACCAGAGATGTTCCATCTCATGCTTCACCAGCATGGCTATGGGTTCAAAATAAAAAATAAAACAAGAAAAAGCGTGTTGGTAAGGGTATGGGGAAATTGGAAAAGTGGAGTCCTAGGGACTGTAAAATGGCACTGTTGCTGGGGAAAAGCCAGCTAGTCCTTTACAAGTAAAGCTCAGAGTCACTGTAACCAGCAGTTCTGGGCTGCAGAGATGACTCATTGGAGGAGTGCTTGTCCATCCTGCTAGAAACCCTGGGTTACCCTGGGTTCAGGCCCAGAAATGCATGAAACAGGGCACATCTTTAATCACAGCACTACATGTGGAGGCAGGAAGATCAGAAGTTCAAGGTCATTCTTGACTATACAAGTTTGAGGCCAGCCTGGGCTCCATGAAACTGCCACAAACAAAGAAAGCAATCAGAAAGAACCATCAGTGCCAGTCCTGAAATACTACCACTTATGAACAAGCAAGTTCACAACTGTGTAACAGACAGTATCAGCTATGGGGAAGAATGAAGTCCTGCTGTGTGTTACAACCATATGGACCCCAGCCACAAATCCTAGTGGAAAGCCAGACACAGATGCCACATCCTGTACTGTGACCCAGGCAACTCCAGAGAGACACTGGCAGACTGGGCTGCCAGGGCTTGGGGAGGTGGGGTGGACAGTGGCTGAGGGGTGAGAGTTCCTTTTGGGGTGATAAAAAATTTTAAGGCAGGCATGACCCATGTGCGTAATCCCTACCCTTGGGAAGCTGAGGCAAGAGGGCTTTGAGTTCAAGGCCAGTCTGGGCTACACAGCAAGGCCCTGTGTCAAAATACAGAATTGAAAAGGGCTAGGACAGGGAGACCCTGTCTCAAAAAGCCCCCCCCCCCCCAAATGGCTGGGAAAGCTGGGTCTAGTGGGCAAGCCTTTAATCCCAGCGCTCTGCAGACAGATTTCTGTGAGATTGAGGCAAGCCTGGTGTATATAGCAAGTTCCAGGGCAGCTGGGGCTGTAGGGAGACCGTTTTTTAAAAAAATGGATTGGGACTGTAGCTCAGTAGCAGTGGGCTTGCCTAGCATGAGAGCCAAGCACTGAGTGTGGTACACATGGCCCCTGTAATCCCAGCGCTTGGGAAGCAGAGACAGGAGAACCAGGAGTTCAAGGTCATTCTCAGCTACATCTCCTACATCTCAAGTTTGAAGCCAACCTGGGCTATGTGAGACAGTGTCTCAAAAACAAAACAAACAAACAAAAAACCCAAGGGAGCTGGATAGATGGATCAGTGGTTAAGAGCACTGACTGCTCTTGCAGAGGACCCAGGTGGGTTCGATTCCCAGCACCCACATAGCGGCTATGGGTCGTCCTTGACTCCAGTTCCAGGGAAATCCAAAGCCCTCTTCTGACCTCCGAGGCATTGCACGACACGTGTGCACTCACATACATGCAGGCAATACACTCAATAAACATGAAATAAAAAAAAGTAAAACATTAAAAAAACCACAAAAAAACCCAACATTTTGAACTTGGAAGACAGATAAAAGC